GGAAAAGAAAACAGAAACTGCTATAATGTGTTATAGAGGGACTGCTTTAAGTATCCATCCCTTCATTACCCGCTAACTCAAGACCAGGTACTGAACTCAGACTTGCGGCGCTCTTGAGGTGCGTGAACCGGAATTAGATTAACGATGCAGGATCAAATCAGCTATAGTCCAAACTCCTTAAAGGGGCTTGTATAAAGGATTATATAGGGTTTAGGGTTTAGGATCCAAACTCCCTAAAGGGGGTTTATGTAGGGGATGACATAGGGAAGACTTTCGACTATGGCCCACATGAAAAAGAACATGGGAGTTTACATGGTAGCCGTTATTTAGGGTTTAGGGATATTACCCCAACAGTGGAGAATCAAGTGGGAGAACGGGGCTAGACACGGATTCATGGGGTTGTAGATAGGGTGCAGCCCAAGTCACTGGGCATGTGTCTCACTGCCTCCATGTGGAACAGGCGAGCCTGCAGCGAGGGAAAAACCACATAGTCCCCCTTAATTAAGTAGATAGGATATGGAATTCCACAATATCATAACCCTGAACCCTAAGCCCTAACCCTGTATCATAATAAGATCCCCGTATACCCCATATTCTATCCACTTAAGTGGGGGGATCAGCATTCTTTTGCAGACCGCCGAGGCTCCAGACCTAAACCCTAAACCCTAAAGCAGCTTATGGCCCCCCTGAAGTAGATAGAATCTGGGGTACAAGGGGATCTAATATGGCGGTGGGGATTCTATATCTTATCTACTTAAGTGACTTCAGGGGGACTGTTATAGCTGTTCGTGAAAGCTCTTCATCTGAGATTGCTCCATCCCCTCGCACTCTCTCAATTGTAAATGTACGAATCTTCTACCCGTAATAAGGGTTCTGATATGCGCACATATCGGGTACTGATATGGGCACATATTGGGAGGGTCACATCCGGCTTCACATGTAGGTGTTCCGGGATCGGCTGGGCTCGGCGTGCTAAGGACACCTTGCCAGAGGGGATTCAAGGGAAGATTCCGCAGAGAGCGCCGCACGCCGGAAGCTCAGATTCAAGATCTTGAGGCCGTAATCCCAGCCTACAGATGGGGGCATTTTTCAAAATGGCCCAATATGTACCCTATAATCCTTATATAACCCCTATATACACACACACACATCCTATATTCCCTATTTACCCCTTTAATCCCTGAGGATAGGGCCCTTACATATCCCTTGGAACTTCCTACTTGGAGGGTCAGGGGGACTTAGTAAGTAGGTTAATAACCCCCATAAACCATATAGTAACCTTACTAATCCCTATTATTAACCCACTTACTAAGTCCCCCTGACCCTCCAAGTAGGGGTCCCAGCCGGCCCGAGCTTCTTATTTGGAGAGAGCCCCAAATCCGGACCTCAACCTTGAACATTCCCAAAGCCCCCTAAGCCCCTAAATTCTACGTCCTAAAGCCTAAATCCGAAGCCCAAAACCCTAAACCCTAAATCCTAAACCCTAAACCTTACATCCTAAACCCTTAGGATGCGGCCTGGAAAGCTCAGCAGGGTTGGATCTAAAGATCCTCCGAAGGGAATTTACTTAAAGACAATCATGCGGGAACTTCTTTCAGGGTTTAGGGTTTAGGGTTTAGGGTTTAGGATTTAGGGTTTAGGATTTGGGGTTTAGGGTTCAGGACT